GGTGCACGAAAACAATCGTAATGCTTAGGTCAGTTCTTATATTTGCATGTTTACATTTACAAATTCTTCTTATCACACTTCAGGTGTTATATTTATGGAAATGCTATGCCCAGGAAACTCTCGACGTGTGTTCATCAAAGAGGAGGGGCGGGGGCGGAGGGATGGGTTAACTACAGTAAAAACGCCTGGGCATCTAACTCGTGGCGAAGAGTGTTTTTCATATTAATAACAACGGTTGATTTAATCGTTGTGGTACGTGCTTGATAGCTTTCTTCTCTGATACTGGCAGTTTAGAGGTAAAATAATAAGAAACGCATGACCACAGTATGGTCTTCGATCAAGATGATGGTGAAACCTTGTCAGGACTTCCTGCATTTTCTATGGCAGTTCATGTCTTTCTGCCGTAGTTGTTAATATTTTGTTTGTTTACTTATTTGATAATTAATGCTGGTGCTATCTCAGAAGCAGTTCAATAGCCCTAAAGCACATTTGCATCAGATTACTCTCAGTATTTTGCCTCATGTTCCAGGCGCAGAGTTGTTAGTTTTAATAATGCAACACTCCGGAAAAAAGGTAACTTAGCCGGGCGAAGGATGAGTTTCAAAAGTTGAAGAGATTGTTGCTGCATGCTAAGTAAACAGAGGTCATTTAGAAAATTATAGCTCAGGAAAGACCACGACACTTTACGTCAGGCAGAAGACTTTTGACGTGTGTGTTAACCAATAGTGTTTAACCAGAAGTTTCCATAAAGAAACATATGGGAAACTTTAATTATCCTAGAATTTGCATAACACAACTTACCGTTTAGAAAAACAATTACTCAAATAAAGTTTTCAGTTTTTAAGGAAAAAAAGAGACGTGCACGAGTTTTTGCTGCTTTGTGAAATTTTAAAACATCGGCAATTTTCATGCCGAAAATGTTACCTTTTTATTCGTCGAGACAATGGTTAACACCTGGTAATGAGAGCCTTAGCTCTCACTGGTCCGTTATAGATAAAATTTTGCCGAGTTTTTTCGATGCGGTGATAATCGTCAACCCAGATATTTGCATTGCTCTGTACCTTCAGAGAAATATTTTGGAATTCCTTGGGAAGGATACCGCTCAGAGGCATACGTATTTCTATCAAATGACATCGACTACAAAAGAAGCTTAAATATACACTGTAATCTGGAGTCAGGCTGGTCACGATGCTGATTAGAAATTTATACCCTGAAATTTGTGTATCCCTGTTAACAATTTCTGCGCTGAGTAAGTACAACATTCTGTTTTTGTTTGTTTTTGTATTTGTTTTCTTAAAGAAAGCGTTAAGTCGAATTCCATAGCTTTAACTTTAGAATCTTTCAGAATCTATTTTTGGTAGTATCATTTCTTGAAGCCCGTAACCAAATGAAACCGTAATGAAGAGTCATCCACGCTACTGCCCAGTTGTTCAAAGGACGGAAATGACAATTTTATGATAATGTGTCATTATTTTTTGTAGAAATGAAATGCTGCTCGCTCTTTGGGCTTAAACGGTGAAAACCGCGGGCTATGACTGAACATAAACAAGAGCGCTCACTCCGCAAAAAAAGATGAATGTAAAAAAAAAAAAAATAGCTGTGAAAAGACTATAATTTTAAGTATCTGTAAAATGAAGATGAACACGGAAGACGGCGGAAGGCAGACAGTATGCAATGAAAGTAAAGTGCAAATAAATAGATAAATAAGTAGAGAAAGAAAATATTAAAGATGACTACGTAATCTGTCGAAACATAGTCGGACCCCTGACAAAAACTCGTCGGAAAATGTTCGGAACGGTTTCTAACATTGTGAAAACGTTCACCTTCATTTTAGGGAAGGTTGTAAACTGGACTTAGTTTTCTTGGTATCTCAAACCTGCTGATCGGTCAACGTAGATTGCATAAAACAGGGCATAGAAAACTATTTAGTAAAAGATAATTGTTAAACCCAGAAGCTAAAAGTACTGCTATGAAAGTGCAAATTACTTTGCCTAGACTTCCCCTGCCCTCTGAACTGAAATTTTAACACTATGTAAGAGGCTAATACCGGATCCCGAAAGGAAGCAGGATCCTCCCCTACCCCCCAAGATCAAGGCCAAGGGGGGAGGGAGGGGGAGCTTCAAATTATTTATTTTCCGCATCTTACTTTTATTGAGCACCGTCCGCAGTCCTCCGTCCTCGTTATAGAAAGTCCCATAATTTACACTGGATATTACAGTATAATTTTACACTCATACCGTTCTAACGTGAACGCGTTAAATGCTTTTAAATTGTTTTCGTGTATTTATTCGCATATTGACATTTCATAAGTCCAAAGTCTCAATCTCTGAAGAACATCAATTGCTTTTTTTTACTATTCCGATAGCTGTTATATTTTCCAATTTCTTTCCTGAGTATTTGAATTATTTACCATGTGACGTGATTAGCGTACGTTTTTTTTGTGTGTATGTGTGTGTGTGTGTGTATCTGTGTGTGTGTCTGTGTGTGTGTATGTGTTTTGCTCAGTCTGAACCTGTTTGTTTAATTTGTCTTGGTTTTTTGTTTTTCCAAGTGATTCATGATTGTGTTTTCAGCTCATTGCAATTCCTTTTCAGAGGCGTCCTCAA